AGTTTATTGTGTGAATGAGTAACTGATTGTGGTGGTAGCATGTCCTGGGGGATATTGTAACAATCGGAACATTCTGTAGTATAAAGAAGGTATCTGTTTTCCTTTCACATTTTTTTTTCTGGGAAACCTAATTTTAAATCAAGTGATATGAATGCAAAGGGATAGATACCCAATGGACTTTCAGGAGTGTTACCCTGCTCCTTACTACTATTAGTGAGTGGTGCCCCTAATCCTCAAATGTTTATTTCTTAAAATCCTAGCACATGAAATGGTTGTGGTTTGTTTTCTTCCAAGAAACAGTTGGCATTTTATGTTGGACTCTTGCTTGACATGAATTATTTGGCAAATTAGGGACTGCAATGTGAATTATAAACTTAGAGCTGTGTAATGGACCTCATGGGTGTTCTAGTGACAGATATATTTCAGTAGGGACTTCAGAAAAAAATTTTTTGAGACAGAAATGATGCTTTTGCATACTCATGTATAAAACATGTATTTTGCACAAGTACTGATACTCCTTTATGCACACACACACACATCAACACTCTTTATGGTGTATCTGTGTTTTATTTACATGTGCCCATGACTCATTGATAGTGATAACCCTCTGTATATACCTCTAGAAAATAATGGACCCTAACTGTGGGAACTGTCTGTATTCAAATATGTTAAGAGCTGAATATTTAAAATTTGTTTGGCACACCAAGCTTTGCTTTCTGAAGGCAACAGAAGTGGGATAGAGAGACCAAAAAGAAAAAAAAAAACATAAAAGCTAATGACATCTGAATGAGGCCTGGGTAATGCTCTAATTAAATGTACTTACACCTAAGTCTTATCACATGCTTAGGAGTGAGAGCTTAGATGCCTCTTTCAAACTGCAACATTGGAGATAGTTACTGGGGCCTTGCATGGAAGCTGTCACCTCCACTGTGATTCAGCTCTGTTCTACATGTGCACCTACCTGTAATCTGTCCTACTTTCTTTCACTGAGTGGGCTTCTGCTATTTTGCTCTTAAGACAATAATGTGAAATAAGGCTGTCCTTTGACCTTACAAAGATATACATGTTCTTTAAAATGGGCTTGAAAATAATCAGGTCAACCCACTTAAAAGAAGCAGGCTACAAGATTCTCTTGTTTTGTTCTTGGCTTATAGGTTATGATGAATTTAATCAGAAACCCCATATACTTTTCTGGTCATTCAGTTGGTTTTGATGTCCTTTCCCTTCTGAACATAATAGAAGCTCTCCCTGAGTAGAAACCACAAGGCAGCTTTTTCAGAAGTTATCAAGTTAAGCAATTTTTACTTCTGAAAGTGTTTCTAAAGCTTGTATTAATTGCTCAATCCTAACTAAATTAGCATGACTTGAAATGTTTTCAAAATGCTGGGATTAGGACAAGAGACAGTATGAAAGGAGGTAACTGTATTTTTTAGGTTGTGTGTATGTGTGTGTGTGCGCACACGCGCAGAGTTTTGAAACATCATGCAATCTCTTATTAGTTTCTTTCCAAAAAATAAAGAATACAAACCCTAGATATTTAGAAGAAGCTGTTTGGCAGTGCGCAGATATGTTCTACATGTCTCATTACCATTAACAGCCATGCATGGCTAAACCTCCCCCTATTGCACTGAGGATTTACCCTCTGGCTTTGTTAAGTGATGCCTGAGTGTGGATTTTACAAAGGAGTTTCATAACCATTTTCTACACTATGCAGCACACCTACTATATCAGAATATGTTTCTTGGGTGAATGGTAACAATTAATGAGAACTGATGTTTATTCAAAAAAAATCAAAGAGCTTGTATATTAAGTCTTTTGGAGAAAGAGAGGTCTGTCTCTTATTTTAACTAAATGATAAGCTACTCTTCTTTTTGTTTTTCTATTCCTTGTCTTCTAGTATTGCTAAACAATCAAATGCAAGGTATTTTGTCTTGTTTCACTCCTTAAAAGAAAATCAATCATTTAATACGCAAAGATAAAAGTTAGAAACCTACTGTAATCTATTAAAGTCCAGGAATTTAAGGAATGAAATGTACCTTCTTGGTCTCAGAATCCATCGGGAGAATGTAGAGCAAGTTATTTTTCTTCGACCTTCCCTAATTTTGTTTCACTGTCTTAGATATAATTTAGACACTGGTGCAGTACTGGGGAATGGGAGATGTTTGGAGGTGCTCGAAAAAGCAGTGGGGTCTAAAAAAGAGACGCCAAAAAGACTCTAGCCTCTAGGGAAATAGGTCTACTGAGATGGCTTTTTGTGTAGGTTTTCAATGTGCCACACCCCTTTGCAAAAGGTTGGGACCCCTTTGGCTTCATCCACCTGGTTTGTGTTGTGGTATATATATTTACACTCAGGATGTTTTGAGCAACCCTTCTTTCTTTCTTTTTAAATCAGCTGCACTGTTTGTCTTGAATATCAAGGTTTTCCTATACTCACTAAGTCTTGCTCATGTAAACTAATGCTTCATTTCTTCCCAGAAAAATATGATATTTGCATCAAATTCAGCATTTCAATAATAGTAGCAAAAGTCCCTCTTTGTAAAAGATACAGGATTAGTTTCTGCTGTGAGTTTATCTGTATCATCTCCATTTATTTCTCGGGGGTTATGAGAAGACCTTGCATTTGACCAAAAAGCACTAGTAAATAAGGAGTTAAAATGAAGGCAGGCTCGCTGGTTTGCTGAGATCTGTCAGAGTCTGACTGGCTGGCTACATATCTGTCTCTGGAACAATAGGTACCTGTATTCTGCACGGACTGCTAGGCAGCACTAGCACTCTGGAGAAGGTCTGCCTCTGTCTGCACTTTCCTGGTGAGAATCCCCAATGACAGTTCCACTTTTCAGTGAAGGAGAACAAAATATCTGTCTACTCTCTTGATGAAGGACAGAGCTTTGATCATTTTTGTTCAGGCTTGACTTGGCCGGAGGTTTTAGGTTCTTAGTCTCAAGTCAGCAGTCTCTCTCTCTCTCTCTCTCTCTCTCTCTCTCTCTCTCTCTCTCTCTCTTTCTCTTTCTCTGAAAGACACACACACACAGACGCACACACACACACACAGCACACACATACACAAGCGCAAATCCTCTCTCTCTTTCTCTCATTTCCTCTCTTAGGTTCTATGCAGGCAGATGAGTGTCACAGCTGTAACTGAGGCACAGAGCAGTACACAGCGTGGAGCCGATTTCCGCGATGGCGAGAGGGGGCATCGGAGGTGACAACAATAACAAGACCGTCCTTCGGACAAGTTTTAGGTAAGAAAATATTTATGCCCTGATTCTTGTATTTCTGTACCTTGTGTCTGCAACATTGAGATAGAAAGCGATTCTGGATAGGGAAATATTTTTGTGAAGATATCATCTGTGCTGTCACTTGCCTGCAAACCTGTGTTCTCGGGGCTTTGTGTTACTGGAATCGTCGGAGGTGAAGTGTGAATGGAGCTGAGTGGAAGGGTGAGCTGCTTTTTGTGTCTGTCTGGTGATATTCGGCATGCTGTTTAAATTTATATCTGGAAAAAATTCTATTTGATGATAGTTAGCAATGTTTTGTGCAACATAGAGCAGCATATGGCCATGCAGAATTCAAGGGATGCTCTTTCATTCTTAATTTGTAATTATTTTTACACTCAACTGTACTGAGGTCAGAGAGTTTCAAAAATTAATGAGATTCCCTGTGGAGTTCAAATAGTAAGATCTACATAGGCTGCCACAAAAAAAAAAAAAGATAAGATTATGATGGTATTTTTTCAACATAGATTTAACTGTCTTATTTGGAACATACTGCATTTGAAATATATATGAAATGTACAATAGTTTATGGAAGCCTACATGTTTTGGGGGATTTGTCCTAATTTTTTTAATGACCAGGAGAAATTGACTCAAAATTAGACTTTAGAGGATGAATACTTTTTGTAGAGAGATTACTAAAACTTAAGAGACATTTTTGTTATGGCAATAGAGAATATCTCATACTTTCGAGGAAATGAGAAATAATGAATGAGTCGCATGCTACAAAGAAATCTGCAAATGTGTTTTCATTTTAAGTAATACACAAAAAACACTCAGCAGATATTTATTATTATATTATATTAATATTATATTGCTGGCATGAACAAAGAAACAAGTGCACACATAGATGAGAATTCTTTGTCACAAAAATGAGTCCAGGACATCGATTCAGGAGGTTAAGTGATTTTTATGTTCTCAGTGCCCCACAAAAGGGAGTCTACTGGGATGAGCCCAGACATTTAAAAATGTACCAAAAACTTTCATTTCCCACAATGTAAAAGCATCGTTTATGTTCCTGCTACAACATGTTGTTTAAATGAGGGGGACTGAAAAGCAGCCTGAATATACAGTAATCGGGGCTAAAGATGGTTTTTATCCCCAGGTCCCCATTTACAAGACCCATTCGGAGCTTCCTGTGATATATTGTTATGTAAATACTGTTCAGCCAGGGAAAGCAGTACTATGGAGATTCAATTTACTTTGAAAGTTGTTCATTATAGCAGGGATGAATGTTATTTATTTGATGTGATTCAAAGGCTGGAAATGACTTTTTCATTGTGGCGCCTTTTGTAATGGGTGCAGGGTGATCTAATCTTTTTAATTTTGGCTTTCACACCAGTGGAGATGAAAAGAGATCTGAACTCATTTATCGGTTGCTAGGTCCTTCTGGAGGCCCAAGTCCTGTTCGTGGTTGCTATGGCCAGTCTGACCTCAATCTCCGTGGTTTTGGGGACTTAGCAGTCTTTTTTTATTGAGGAGCATGTACCTTGATTTATGTCCAAAATTGTGGCTGAACGTCTTTGTCTGCAAGTGATAAATGGTGCCGAGCAATTCATCAGTTCTTACAAGTAAACACTGCTGTCCCACTAAAAATATGTTTTGTTCTGAGTTAATGGTATGGAACAAGGCAGCCTCCACAAACAGCTATCTTTTATTGTGGAGGGGCCACTGAAACTTGGAGCAAAGTGGAGGAAATTGGCATTCATTTTCTTGTACATTAGCATTTCATTTGTGATTCCGATGATGCAGCTCTAGGTGGATTGCCTATGAAAGGGTGAGCCTTCCGAGTCCTTTACCTTCTCTCTAGTTGGGGTGCCTGTGAAACCGACAGGCTCTCTCCAAAAGCCTGGATTCTGCTGGGGGAGTAAGAAGTCAGGAGGAGTTTGTCTGATGATATTGGGCTCTGCTTTGCAATTGCCAAGCGCTAAGGCACAAGCTGGCAGATGTGCTGTGGCTCTGCTACGGGCGGCTCTGTCGCCTTCAGTCACAGGCTGCTTCTTTGAGGGAAAGTTGTATCCAATATTGGTGACTCCCGATAATATTCTGCTTGTGTGCTGCTTGATGGTCTCTTGGCTTCCTTGCCTTCTAGAACCTTGTTAGAAAGAAGCCGTGGTGATTAAGAGGCTGTGGAGTATACAGCCTTGCTTAGCAGATGAGCCCTGATACATTTCGCATGTCCTTAAAAATGGCTAATTGATGGATGCTGCAGAAAACATCCACTCTGCTAATAAGATGGTGATGACAAAATAGGTACCAGGAAAGGCATTTATTGCTTATAAGCGCCATCAGCTTCCTTCCGAGAGAGACTGTGGCTTTGTAGTAAAGTTTTTTAAAATTTTATTTTAAGTAACATCCTAATAGTTTTATTCTAAATCGGCCAGCGCTGAATGTCTTCAGGAAAATGGGTTCCATGAGAAGTGACATCCTCCTCGAATCAAAAGGTAAAAATTCAACATTTTAAAAAGTGCAATTTTCAAACCATTTGATCTGCTTCTTACCAGTAGCATTGGAAAACTGCTCTCTAAATATAATTATTTAAAATTTGATTTTTTTAACATTAAAGATTTAAAAGAGAACAGCTTAGAGAATTTGATTGTTAGTCATTTTCTGAAGATTGGCCAGCTTTGGCAATAAAATGCGATCAGGTACTTCCTATGTTTCCTTTCAAACTTGAAAATAAGCAGCTTTTTATTTCTTTAGAGAAAATGATCATTTTGGAGATCAATAAAAGTAATCTTTATTTTATGTGGATTTTATTCTAGAACTAGCAAATTTGAAACCAGGGTTAGGTGATGTCAAAAGGTCTCTTATGGCTTGAAAATTCTTTTTGAAGTACCAGTTTTCTGAAGGAACCAATAACCATGCCTGTATTATTGTAATTGCACTTAGTCAAGTAATGTTAAGTTTTCTTTAGTAGAGCATCAGCAAAAGTTCCATGCTTCAGTGTACAAGTAATAATTGTGGCTTGAAGTAATTTCAAAGTAATTGATTTTTGAAGGTATTAAAAAAAACTCTGATATGTTAGTGCTTTATTAATGCTGGGGTTTTATAGAGCTTAACTTGTGGCTGCTTTACTTGGGTTTCTTACTTCATGTCTTCTTGAAGGTAATATTTTATATAAATGGTTAATTTCCCAAGAAATATTTAATTTTAGGTATCTGGAGAAAAGTATTCCTCGGTATGTATCTATGTTTGTATATGAACACATTTTAATATAAAATGTCTTATAAATTTCACATTGTGTTTTGCTTTGCTGTTATTTCAAAGGATTTAAGTGAATGGTGGATAGTGCTCAATTTCCTGAAATGATTAAATTCACTCTCTGAAGAATCTGGGGAAAAGGCCTGTAATGACATTTTGATGACTTTCATTTTAAGGTGTAATAGAAATTGAATAAAATGTTTTAATAGCCATTCTCTAATATCTCATTCCAAATACAATGTTTTTATTGCTCATTCTAGCTTACAATTTTCTGGTGATAATGATGTTGGCTGGTCATTGTTTTTGTATAGAAATCATTTTATCCTTATGTAAAAGTTATTTCAGAAAAGTCTTCATGCATTTATCTCAGCTGAAGCAATTGCATTGAACTTTTGAGATAAAACAGTGAGTATTTCCAGATTGCGCCTACTTTAATTTGACACTTCCTTGGGAGAATTAGGGGTGTCTTAAAGGGAAGAATATTTGATATGATAGTTGTGGTTTAAGGAGAAAAAACAAAGAGGCATGCAAGTTAGAGAAAGCTAAGAAAAGAGAAGGAAAGAAGGAATAAAAACTGTGCGATTTTACCTTGCTTGGTTTCACTTTGTGTGCCAGATGCCATATATGTTTTAAAATTTAAAATTGGACTAAGAAATAAAAAATGTATGTAAATATGCTGTTGTTATATCTTTCTTTATTAAATAGGTAAGTACAGAGATATAAACTTAATAAGATTACAGCTAATGTCACCAGGAACATCTTTGCACCTCAGTTCTTTCGGGAGATATACACATGTAAAGTGAATCACATAGCTTTTAAAGAATCAAATCTTTTGGGAGCTAAAGTTGTGACATGTTAGATCAATTTTCATGTAAGTCAGAATGAAATTTTTACATCAATTTTTCCGTGCAAATTACACAAAGCCAACAGTTTCCAGACTGCATTGTTCTAAATGCTAATTAGATAAATTTTTATATAATTTAACTTGATTATAGTGAATAGTCAGAATATAATATTGCTGAATTAACACACCATTAGTGTAATTTTTTATAAAAGTAAAATTAAGCTCTGACATCTGATTACATTATGCTCTACTGATGTGTTTACTACATTTCTCCAGTTTCGCTTTCTTTTTGTCATTATGTTTCCTTTTCAAATGTCAGTATTATAGACCAGCTAGTATAATACTTATAGTTCTTTTCTGCCTACTATAATTCTGGCTTTGTCTGTGTGGTGTGCCATTATTCTTATCTGTCACCTAGAAAGTTGTATTGACTTTGAAGCTATTTATCTGACCCATTTGTCTGAATTTGGGTGAGGTGGGGGAAAGGCTAAAACTTGTTTCATTACAAATTGCATATGAAGTGCTAAAAGATTTGAGTTGGCCTTGGGATGTTCACAGGATTGATATTAGGATATGGATTTTCTTAGTAGTGGTCGGTTATGTGTGTAATTCAATAAAATATTTTCTTTAGCTTTCTTGGTTTATTTTCCACAAAACAGAGCATCATCTAGGAAATTTATTACAGAGAATGCACTGTCAGGGAGGGACCCTCTTAGATAGCCAGTAAAAATATCACTCCAAGTTACTGTTCTATCTTGTTGGCACAGATACACAGTAAAGCTTTGTCTACAGGTTTTATATTTAATAATATTCATGATCCAACAGCAAATTTTAATTTGTATCGTGATCATTTGGATAGCTGTTGTTTAAATGCTACCGGAATGATTTAAGAAAAAAAGTTATGCTAAAAAGCTTAATTACACACTCTAGCACTCACTAATAATTTATTCAGATTTTAAAATGTGAACATTGTATTTGCTTATTGGTGTTGATAATCTCTTTTTCAAGAGAAGGGCTATATAGACACATTATGTCCCTGAATCCTTCTAAAGTTGCTAGACTTTATGGTGCTGTAATACTACACTGTATAGTGTACCAAACCTTTTTGCATCCTTAATAATATTTCCAAGCCATGCATTCATGCCCTTTATGTTACTTGTCATTATTTAAGCACAGTGTGCTTGTGATTTATCAGTTGTGAATTTCCTGAGTTTTCCTGACTATTGAGATTATAGTTCAAATGCAGTTACTGAAGTATACTAGTAGGTTAGTAGTTTCCTTAGAGAGAGATAAGGTAGCACACAGTGATCTGGAACATACGGTGTGTAGTTAGTTATCATGATCTCAAGTGTTTTAACATAGTTTACTATAGAGATCTGAAAAAATACAGAATTTCCAGAAAATATTTGAAGAAGAATTCAATTTGCTAGAAACTGGAAAAGTGGAAGTCAAATGAAATATTTAAAAAATCTCCTCCCATATGGATTTAAAAAGCATCCATTCACTCATTCATCAAATGTTTCTTCAGTGCCTACCATGTGCCAGACACTATTCTTGTGGCTCCTGATTTGTTACCATTAGTGCAGTATTTAATATGTTTGCCTGATTTTGTAGATTATGGGAATCTTACTAGTGATTTATACATCATCAGTGCATCACACATCGCAATCCATATTATTTTGGAACGTCTATTTCTTTTTTTCACTCTTTAAATGGCTTAAAATATATTCTAGGCATATATACCAGTTTAGTAAAAGGGGAAAGATTTATACGATCGGAAGAGAAACCAGAGTATATATATACCAATTTAGAAGAAGATATTGGTAAAACAGTCAGAATGTGTTTCAGGACATTTTCTTACTGATATGTATTTAGAAAGTCTAAATTCATCCCATTTTCCTTATTATTCAGGCCCACTCTGCAGCAGGCACTAAAATGGTTTTATTGTTTTTGTGCTTCCTTCCAATGCTTCCTGTATTATTTTAAGGGATTTCTATTCTAATTATGGATGGCTAACATTTATCTTCTATACGCAAGACAGTGTGCTAAGCCCTTTACCTTCATTTTCTAATTTAATCTTCTCAATCACTTTATGAGAATGGTAGCATCATTACTCCTGTTTGTGGATGAAAAAACTGAGGTTTCAAGAACTTAAATAACTTCTTCAAGGTCACAGAGCTAATAAGCAGCTGCGATGACTTAAAATCTAGGTCCTTCAGGTGCCACTAACTTTTCTTGTTATTCAACAAATATTATTGAGCCTCTATAATGTCCTGGGCTTGTTCAAGATGTTCAGAATAAAGCAGTGGATAGAACAGGCTTTAAAGCCCTGGACTTTATTGCCCAAGTCAATGCCCTTAGAAATACAGGTGCCTCGTAACTACCTTGACGCTTTTATTATGTTATTTTCTTCTGCGTTCAGGGATTCCCCAGAGCCAATAGGATACAATTTTAAAATGTCAAACCTTTTTAGATCTCTTACCATTTGGCTGCAGTCTTTCTTTCCAACTATATCATTGGCTATTTCTAAATAGGAGTGTTCTACACTGTAAGGCTGATTTCTCCTTGCTCTCACAAAGTTTGTCTTGCATTTTCTCTGGTCATTCCTGCACCTGAAATAATTTTGCCACTGCCTTCTTAAAACCTTCCAACCTTTCATGTCTGGGTCAAAGCCTGTGGCTCTCAGGAAGCCTGTCTTAGAAATAAAGTCTCAAGATTCTTTGATCTGCATTGATTATTTCACACATGATATTTGCAAAACTAAAATGATACGAGGCTGGATAATGCTCTACATTTTTTGCATGCCTGTGTTTGTAGGTGTGCCCAGGAGACATACTGGCTAAGAGTTCAGGGAACCAGCAGTGAAATAAGAGAATAATATAGAAAAGATAGGACCCAAAGACTTGGAAGTAAGAGCCCCCACTGCCTAGCACAGTGCCTGGCATAGAGTATGCAGCTGATACATTTTTAGGCCAGGAGAAGGAGAGGAGGGGAGGAGGGGAGAGAGGAGGAAGGGCATGACAACCAGAGGAAAGCCAGCAAGAAAAGAGAAGATCGTACTCCTAAAATCATAACCTAAGGCCTTTAAAGATCTTTAAATATTTATATTAGGGTTAGAGATCTCATTAAGGAATATGTAGATGTATGCAGTACGTTTTTGCTTCTTCCTGGAAAGATTGTCACTTTTATCAACATTAATACATTTGATATAAAGTGCACTTTCTAATGTTTCTAAGGGAAAGTCCAATTGTGTTGTGTTTGTGTGTTTTTCATCGCAATTCAGGCCTACGGTGCTGTTAACTTCTAAGTTGATTTTGCTGTTTTACACTGTAAATGATTATTTTTCTATTTTCTGTGACAAATTTCAGTATCACAAAAGTTGCTGACCACCTGCCA